GCAGGGTTATAACGCTCCGCCCCCCCCCCCCCCCCCCCCCCCGCCACCAAAATGTTGTTCCATTCACCCTTTTCTCCCTTCAAACCCGCCCTGCCCCCCGATAAACCTACCAGCGCTCACCTCATGTCATAGAGCAAGCCTTTATTTTAGAGCAGCAAAATAAATTCTTGCTCCAAAGGCAAGTTGTTGAAAGCCATCTGGGCAGCTTATGAGTGGCCTGGGACAGGGCAGGCTGTGCCATGTGCCAGCTTTTCCCCAGCAGGTGGTGAGAGGTGGGCATGGGGCAGAGTTCCAGGAAGCCCAGGCACCTGTCCCTGCACTAGGGCAGCCCCTTTCCTTTTTGCTCACCTGCTACCTTCCTCTTCTCCCCTTGGCCGGGACATAGTCTAAGTCTGATGTGGGTTACTCGGGGCAGGATGTTCAACAGATGTTACAGGGAATTGCAACAGAGTTTCAGAGACATGGCAGTGGTGGCAGGGTGGGAGGAGATGCTGTCAGCAGAATGACAGAAGGTTGGACAAGCAAATGTGTTGGTGGAAAGGTAGCAAGTCCCTCCATGGTGCTATGGATGTGTGGTGGGGACTTTGGTGTTTGACCCCAGCTCCACGTTTGGCAAGTCCCACCCACTCATCCCAATTTCAGGGCCCAAGGAGTTGAGAGGAGATAAGATATCTACAATGCAGGCTGTCCTGCAGATGGTGGTTGGTGGGCTTCACTGAAGGAATTAGCAAAGGGGGTGAGGAGAGAAAGGGGCAATTGATTCTGCAAGACATGAAGGCATTAGATGATTAGGAAGATAGGATGGAGTGGAAGAGTAAAGGAGAAGCAAGAAGCACTCAAGACTCCCCTGTGTGCTTGGCAGTTGCAGCTCAGGGTGTGGAGCACAGTGGTGCGAGACACAGGGGTTGGATCATCTGCATGCTCCTCATGCCAGCTGCCAGCCGCTGAGTACCATCATGGCATGTTCTGATGAAAAGATGATCTCAGTACTTGCTGACCCAAGTACTTAGGGAAGATACAAGAACTGTCAAAGAAGCTGCTTGCCATCAGAAGCAGGAATTTGTCATGTTAAACAAACAAAATGACCAACAGAGCACTCAAAGTTCCCTGGGATTTCTTTTCTCTGTATGGCTTCTGAGTCATCAAAGCAGACCTTGAAACCCCAGCACCAACTCTAAGCAAAGTCCACTGCTTAGGTGTCCGTAGTTGTATCTGTGTGTATGTGTGTGTTGGTGGTGGCAGAAAGGCTTGAAAAAGCAAATCATCTCCTAGTCCTGGTTTTTCCCAACTGTATTTTTAGCCCTGCCCCATCACAACTTTGTGACAGTGCACAAGAAATGAAGTTTCCACAAGAACTGTAACAAATTTCATAAACATTCCCAACATCTAGAGCGATACCTGCACTGGCAGTGGTCATAACCCGGTACCTCTCCCCTAAGGCAGGCTGTGGTGTGTGATCCACAGCCTTTGCCTCCTCACTGCCCATTTTCCCTTAAGGCACAACCAGCTGCTGCTTCACAGTGCTATCTTTCCCATAGTTGGTGCAAGGTGTCTTCCCTCCTGCCAAGTGCGTTCCTGCATTATGGATGGGTCACCGAGACTGCGTTGTGATGCCTGCTGCAGGCCCGTGCCAGGCACCAGCAGAAGCTCTCCTGCATTCTTAGTGTCAGTGCTGCTGTGAACTGTGGAGTCACCAGCTGCAGAGCTGATCAGCTTCTGTGCAATGAGGCATTTGCAGTCGTCTTCTAAGAAATTCCCTGTGCATGTCATCATTGTGCACTGAACGGATCTGTCTGCTTACACACTCACATCACACTGGGTGAAAATTCACATGAAGGATTAGAGGGAATGCACTGAGAGTTCAGCAGGATCAGAACTAAAGCTTCTGGACTGTTTCTATATCCATAGTGTTATAAAGAACAAGACTGATTTTTTGTTTGTTTGTTTGTTTGTTTTTATCACTTTTTAAACTAACTTACTGAAACCGCTGAAGTTGTTCACTTTCAAACTGAAATGAAATTTTAGAAGTATAGGTTTTGTTTATGTAAAAGGCTAGAGCGAGGAATCTTCCATCCACTTGTTATTCCCCAAGTGACTGCAAAACTCCAGGCAGGTGCACGTAAAGCCAGGAATCAGGAACTTCACTCAGGTTTCCCAATGGGATGCCAGGGGCCTGAGGATTTGGACAATTTTTGGCTGCTTTCTCAGGCATATTAGAGAATTGCATAAAAGTGGAACAGCTGATCCTCACAGAATGCTGCTGTTGCAAAGAGAAGCCTAACCCATTCCATGTACATACAATCTCTCCTACTCCCTCTCCTCCCATGACCTGAACTGCCTAACTGGCTACATAACACTATCTCATTACCTCTAACTCTGTAGATGATTAAGCATGGAATGATACTTGAGACCACCTGGACTGGCATCTTAAATGATGTCAACTGAGAAGAATTGGGAAGTTCCTTTGAGAATAAAAAGAGCTTTATAGACCCAATCAAGGATGCATGTCCAGGGGTGGGTGTTTGGCAAAGCAATGAGTTAATGTCTCTGTGACACCTAGGTCAGAGTGAGCACCTGCTTTAAGTCCTCACTGGACTGTTCCTGATCCAGCTTCATGCAGGTGAAACCTTGGAACAGCAGATGACGACTTGGGAACTTGAACCATTGTCAGCCTCATGGGAGATCCTGTGGGATTCCTGCGTGGGGCACACACTTTGGTGTGTCTTGGGCCCAGGAATGAATGAGCTGCAGCCACTTTCTCTTCCAGCTGGGAGACTGGATGCCTTCACAACTGTGCAGGAGGGAGCTCAGAGCAGAACAGGACAGTTGGCCTTTGGACAGGTAGATTTCATTTGCTAGGTGTAAAGCAATTTTCTTAGTTCGCTGTTCAGTTGGCTACAAGATAAGGAGGTGAAGCTATCACAAACAGACAGGTCCTGGGCTGCTCTTCACATGAAAGGAGTGACAGTCCTGTGTTTTCTCCACCAAGCAGGTGTGTGGGGCAGAGTGCCAGGACAAGCATCAGGTTGTAAGGATCCTGCTCAGCAGCCTCACAGCTGCCCAGAGGGGAGAGGAGGGAAGGCCATTCAGTACACATGCCACTCCATCACCACTCCTTCCTCCCAGAATCTGAGGCTGGCTATCTAGGCTAGGCTTCAGGAATCTGTGTTTTCACATCCACACAGGGAATTCTGATGCGGAGCGTGAGAAAAACCTACTAGGGAATGCTTCAGTGGTGGCTGAGCTGGCTCTGATTGCCAGGGTAGATTCTGGGAGTGTGTGGGAAAGGATTGCTAAAAGGGACCTGAGCCAGAGTTCCACCTTACTTGCTCTTCATTGTAAGGGGTGTGTCTTGAGGAGACACTACGCTGGGAAGTAGGACACATCCCTGTTGGTTGGGGGTACAAGGTAGGGATCTGCATGTCAGTTGTTCTTCCCTGAGAGACCCCAGCTAAGGGGCACATCTTTCTGTACTGCTCATGTTCCTCTTTATCCATCACTTTCTCCCCACTAAGAGGTGGATTTCATGAGGTAACAGGGGATTCATGGTGGGTAGGTCTCCTTACCGTGGAAGATGCTGCACTTACCACACTGCGTGTTACAGAAGTTGCTGGCCACACATGATTATCTAAATTGATTGAAAATAAGTTGGTACTGGCACCGTGGCATAGCACACTAATCTCCACGTGCAAACACCTGCACCCATTTGGGCACCGTTTCACATCTTGGCTGCCCCTCTTCTGATCCAGTTCCCTGTTTATAGCCTAGGAAAGCAGTAGAGAATGGCCCAAGGACTTGGGAACCTGTATTGCATGGGATTCCTGAAGTAAATTCTTGGATCCTGACTTTCTACCTGTCCAATTCCAGATATTCTATCCATTTGGAAGGTGAACCAGTAAATGAGATCTCTCTCTCTCTCTCTCTCTCTCTCTCTCTCTCTCTCTCTCTCTCTCTCTTTGTTTCTCTCTTTCTCTCTCTCTCTTAGAAACGATGTGAATCATTTGAGTTCCTCAGTTGTAGCAGCTGCCTTTCCTGAGCTCATGAGCTCCCATCCATGTGATACTGCACCTAAAAGGAGTCTGTCAGCATGGAACGTTCTGTCCCATCACTGTTTTATAGAGCAAAAGAAGTGATACAGTGTGCCTTGGAGGGTGGGGATCTGATCCAGTGAGAAAAAAGGGGCAGGCATTTTGGCACAGTGAATCAAGCCATCGCTGGGGTCACTCTGGCCCCATAACAGAGTGCTTGGATTGGAATCCTGCCTCTGCTTCCTGACAGTGGCCAGGGAGGCAGCAGAGAGAGAGACTCAGTCATGTGGGCTGTCACTGCACCCATTGAATTCTTGGACAGATATATTGGTTCAAGCTCGCCCAATCTTGGCTGCTGTGGGCAGTTGTGGAGAGAAGCAGAAAATAGAGAATGGCCTCTCTCCTGAGTGTCTGTGTGTGTGTGTGTGTGTACCTCTCAGACAAACATTAACAAGCAAAAAGAGTAGAGGGTTCTTTTCCTGGTTATCAAAGCAAGTGTATCCCTCACGGGATCTAGCTGCTGAGCTGTGGACAGCCCTGCCTTGCCTTTATCTTCCTGGGCAGATCAGAGGGTGATGCAGGGCTGACCAAGGTTGAGTAATCTGTGCATGGGTCGGTTCCTCCCTCTTTCAGAATATATTTGCAGAAATGGTTTCTGCCTGATAAAGTGCTGTGCTGTTACACTCACACTCCCTCACCGTTGAGTGGCTATTCTTACTTTGTGGTGAATGAAATACTGTAATATTTTCTCTCTTTCTAAGAGTATTTTTTTCTTGAAGGTTAAGAGTAGAGATTGAGAATGCCTTGAGCTGTTAGTATACAGTTTGTGTGTTCCTGAGCAATTTCCTATCATTTCTGGGGTCACCACGTTTAGAAGTCAGAAGTTGGGAGGGAACTCATGCTATATTGAGCCACATGAAGTCAAAAAGTTAACAAAAGTCAACTTTGTTTTTCATAGATGGGAGACAGAACATGAGGGAAACAGATGCCTTCTTTTTAAGGTAAGATGTGCATTTTAAAAAAGATTTATTTCTTGTACTTGAAAGAGAATACACAAAGGGGGAAAGATAGAGATCTTTAATTTGCTGGTTCATACCACAAATGCTGCAACAGCCAGGGCAGGGCTAGTCCAAGGCTGGGAGCCAGGAGCTTTTCCCGGGTTTCCCATGTGGGTGTAGGGGCCCAAGGACTTGGGACCACCTTGATGCTTTCTCAGGAAACTGCAGAAGTTGGATCAGGAGTGCAACAGCAAAATACAAACAGGTATATAAATGGAATGTTAGTGCCATGGGCAGATCAGTGAACAATGCCCTGGTGCTTGCCCCTAAAATGTGCTTTGTTTATTTTTTTTTCTGAGAATAAAGATCTATTCCATCGAATTCAGAGCCAGAATAGAGTCTGGAGCTAGACAGTAGAACTCAGTAGGAAAAGTTTCAGCATCTGGGGGAGTTGGTTGATAGATAGGCAGGTTAGTGGCTGTCCCTGGTTATCAAAGGGCCTGGAGTGATGTTTAAGATACTTAGTCATTGGTCTGGCTTGAGTGAGGACCTAGAGTTTGGATCCTGAGCTAGTCTGTTGTCCTTGACTGTAGGAAAATGGGAACCGGAGGAAAAGATGCAGCTATTGGGGGTGGGCAGCTGTGCGATGCTCAAGGAGCACTGATGCTATTCACGAGCTGGTGTAGACACTCAGGATTTTGCCCACTAGCGTGGGCTTCCCCCCAATGCACACAGGCAGACCACCCACATAACAGAGAATGAGGATGCAGAGCTGCCTCTGTCCCCATGTTGCCCTTGGGCTGGCAGGAGCTCATTCCTGGGTATAACTGATGACACTTGTCATGAACAGGTACAGGTTTGATCCAGAAGAGGAGTACAAAATGGACCACAGGAGGAGAGGGATCGCCTTGATCTTCAATCAGAAGACATTCTCCTGGAAGTTAAAGCTTCCAGACAGATTGGGCACCGAATTTGACCGGGACAAGCTCATTCGCAGGTGACCAGGTTTATCTGCATGTCCAGACAGGTCACTTGAGGGACAGAACAAAAGGACCTGTCGTACCTTGTGGGCACTGATGGTGGTCCCAGGGCCTTAGTTGGATACCCTTAAGAACTCACCTGTGTTCTTTACTTTCTTCTGGTACATGTTAGAAGGTGTGATATTGTCACTAACTCATCTGCACATAGACAGAAATATCCTGAATGAAGCAACTATCAATATAATTAAATCTTTTCCTCCTGAGGGAGGACATGGATTGTCATATTTCACTTCTTATTCCTTGAAAAAAAGGAAAACTTTATTTGTCATGACAATACTGATAGATTCCTCCAAGGTAAGAGTATTCAACAACACTTGGAATTTCAATAGCTAATGTTCAATTTACTCTGTCACCAGGTTTAATGAGCTAGGCTTCGAAGTGAAGTGCTTTAACAACCTTAAAGCAGAAGAAATACAAGACGAAATTGATGAGGGTAGGTAGTTGTGCTGTCAATTATTTTCTTTCTCTGCTGTGGCTAGACACATTATCCTGTTCTGCGAAAATAGATACAATCAAGTATTAGGGGGAAAAGGTTGTCTTTTAAAATGATTTATTAATTTCAGAGACAAAGTTAGGAAATCACACACACACACACACACACACACACACACACACACACACACACACAGATTTTATTCCCACCCCTGCCCTCCCCGGATGGCCGCAACAGCCCAGGCTGAGCCAGACCAAGGTCACAATCCCAGAGCTTCATCCGTGTCTCCCACTTGAGGGCAGTAGCTCAAGGTCCCAGACTATCTTTCACTGCCTTCCCAGGTGCATTGCAAAGAACTAGATGGAAGGTGAAGCAGACAGGACTCTAACCCACTGCCCATTTGGGATGCTGACATTATAGGCAATGACCTAATGAACTTTACACAACCCCAGGATCCCAAAATGTGTTAATACCGCATAGGTTATAGGTTTTGGCAGAATATTATCAGATTTAGAAACCCTTGCAATGAATTAGAACTTTGAAGTTTAGAGGAAGTATACCATGTGTTGCCATCTGCTACTCAAGAAATGAATGGGAAGATTTCTGCATTTGGCATTAAAGTCTGAGTTGCAAATCCTGCCTTCACTGGGTGGTATACGCCCATTGCTCAGTTGCTTCCTGCCCCATTTTGATCACTGGCTTTAAACAATGTCACTGTATCTACATTATGACTTCTGTAATCTCACTCTGCTATGAGTAGCTGTGCCAGTTGTTCATATGACTTGATCATTGCTACACCCCATGGCTTTTTTTTACATTTAAAAAGGATTTGATTTTTAATTCTATTTACATAATTGAGAGGGATGCATGTTCATGTGGGCCTCTGATTAGTGTGGGGAGGGTCAAGGTATGGAAGAAAGTGGGTGTGATAAGTCTTTCAGTTCTTTTTTTCCTCCTGAGTCCACAGGGGAGAAAGGGAGTGGGTTGCTCCTTGCTGTCAAACTACATCAACACCCAGGGATAGAAGACAGTTATTTAATGATGCCTTAGAGACCTCTATGTGGGTATTGCTTGAGTGGTCTTGATAGTTCTGAGATGTTATCAGTTTCATTGAGAAAATCTTTCGAAGGTCTGTTGGCTGACCCAGTCTGCCTTAGTGCATCCACAGACCCAAGCTGTAAAGTTTGGCCAAGAAATTTATCCATCCTGTTGTGCTTTCCATCCTCTCACAAGGTACTCTGCATGCTCTGCTGACCTAGACGGGCTGGCTGTCCTGTCCCTTGTGTGCGGCAGATGGCTGTCTTCTCCATGTATTCTCATATGGTACATGTAGAAGAGATGATACAGTGATAGGGACAGAACTAGAGCTACAGAGACAGAGACGGTAGAGATAGACATGAGCTAGAAATGATAGGATGGTGAGATAGAGATAAAGCTAAGAGGTATCTGAGGCAGGTTAGCTCATCTCTTCAGAAAAACTAACCTTACTCAGTGGGCTCTGTCACATAACTTAATTACCTCCTAGAGACCCCCCCCCCTCAACTTCAAGTATCAATGCACTGGGGATTTGATCTTCAATGTACAAGTATGAATTTTGGTGGTGACATGCTTAGTCCACATCAGATATGCATCCCTTGGAGTGTTGGGTTGCTTTCTGGTCCTCCTTTAGCTTGATAATGCAGTGGAGTGGAGAGAATTGTTGGTCTCTGGCAGAAGGTCCGGATCTTAGTTGCAACCCTCACCAAATTCATGTTCTTGGGAAAATCACTGAAGCTACAAAGCTTAGCTTCCTTAGCCACCAAATGGGGTGATGTTATTTATCTTGCCTGATCACAGTGCGGTTGAGATAATGTGAAGTGCACCATGCCTGCACAATCTAGCAAAAAATAGATACTTAGTAATAGTTCTTCTTATAAATATTAATATTACCAAGTTGAAGTTGGCTTGCAAATAAAAACCTGCTTCATTTGGAGGCAGTCTTTGAATTTAAAATAGTCTAAAAAACAAGCATTCCATAGTCAGTACAAATATTAATTAGCAGTCTAATAAGAAGCAGGTCACAATACATGTGAATGTGCTAAAATGTCTTCCAGTTTCAAGACAGTAGTACCTTGTTAATTTGTCATCAAGGGGTCCTTGGAGCCAGAGAGATGACAAAAATTCATGAGGAAGAAATTCTCACTGACTAAATCATGCTTCTACTGTTGGTAAAAATGGGCTATTTTTGTTTGCTTTGCTATGTTTTTTTTTAATTATACTTATTTTTATTATTACCATCTTCTGATACAGTTCCATAGGCCCTGGGATTTCCCTTATCCCCTCCGCATGGGTTTTCTTTTCTTTTTTTTTTTTTATTTTGTGAGTTGAATTTTTTTTTTTTATTTAATTTTGACAATCCTTACAAATTTAATTGGGGTAAAAAAGGTTCAAGGCCTAAAGGGGGATATAGAGGAAGAAGCCCCACCCAGTCTCCCGCCCACCCCAAGTCCCGGGTGTGGGGCACGCTCCGAGATACTCGATCAAGTGGTTCCAATAGTTCACCATTCATGGGTCGCTGCCAGTCTCGCCACCCCAAGCATGATGTGGTCATTGAAGAGTCCATTGATTGACACAGTCCCTTCTAGAGTCTCCATTTGCCCAGACTCTGCTGCCAACAGATGGCTGAGGTTGTTGCTTGACTTGTCCTGTCTTTCCCTGGTTAGGACTCCGAGTCCGGTGTCTCGAATGGGGAGATCCTCGAAGAAATTTTGAGGTATTCCCAGTCCAGATTCCTGCTGTTCTAGTAGCATAGGGCCCGGCACAGTCCACCGCCCCGATCAGCTGGCGGCTGCAATTGCTGGGCCGGTTCTGTCTCCGTGCGTGTCCTCTTGCAGTCCCGCCTGGTTCCACCCTGGACGCACTTGTCCCTCGCACGTACCAGTAGGAGTTGCAGCCCAGTTAGGGCGGCCCACAGTAGCCTCAACCAGGCCCGCCTCCTACCCTGGCTTGCCAATATATATGGCATACTAGCCCAGTCTGTCCCAAGTACCCTTCTGTTCATATTCTTGCCAACAGGTGTTGCAACCTACTTCCATCCAACCATCTCATCCAACCAGCCCTAACGGATGTTGTTGGGTGTCTGTCTAGCCACCCCAGCCCCTGTCCTAGTTCCCATGCCCTCCCGTGGAAGGTGAAGACCCACGAGGGAGGAGCCCACTATTTCCCTCCCAGGTTGCTCCCATTCCAGTTGTGCCCTCTCCAGTTGGCCCTGTGGTTCAACTCAACGTGTCTAACCCTTTGTACCAGCTTCCGCCAGCTGGTGCTACAACTAAGCCCCAACAACCCTCACCAACTCTGATTGTAGCTTGCACCAGTGGGAATAGTCAGCCCAGCCTGGTTTTCACCCAATCTGGTCCACATGAGGTGCATAGGCGCTGTGTCCCTGCCTGGTCTGGTCTACCCCCCACCCAGCTCACGCTCCTCAGTGTAGGTTGCTGTTCAGCTAGGGAACCTCCCCTTCCTGTCAGCTCTGCCGCCTCCTTTCCTGGTTCTCACGTGTGTTGGTTGGGTGCTGCGGTTGCATCCGGCTCAGGCTACCTCACCTTGGCATTCCAGCTTGTGTGTTGCTTTTGTCACGACCGGACCTGGTTCGACCCACACTCTGTTCTGGCGATCAGATTTACCAGTGGATGACATGAACAGATTCAGCCTGGTCTGCCCCTGACCCATGCCAAATGCATGCCAGTGGGACACTTTCTATGACCTCTTGGCTGTTGCCTTGCATGTTCCTTGCGCTGACCTGCAGGATCTGTGTCCTGCCAGAGGAGTTGTCTGAGCTCCTCCATCAGAACCCCTCCATGTGCCAGGTTTCGCGCATATCAGTGGGTCCATGTGCCAGTTCGCCTCTTATCCTAGCAGGAACAGTGGTCTTTCCTAACTGGCCATCATCCCTTTCTGGTTCTTGCTGTAGAGTGTTTCAGCCCAGCCACGGTCATCCATGCCCCCATATGGCTCGTATATGGCTAAGTTGAGGTTGGGACCTAGCCTAGTCCGTCCCACATCCACCCTGGTACTCCAAAGCACCAGAAGGTGTTACTGTCTGGCCCGGCCCGGTACTTCTTTTCCCAATCCACATTTGTGCCAAGGGAGAGGACAGCTGTATCCAGACCCTGCCGCAGCCCCATCCACCTGTCATGACCCCTGCCTTAGACACTGTGGCTCAACTCTGTGCTTAATGTGGACCAGTTGGAGCCAAAACCAAGCTGGGCATGTCGTATGTTGCACCCTGTGTTCCAGTCATGCTAGTGGACTAAGGTTTGCTTAGTCTGAACATTCAGCTCTCAGTCTCGCACTTACATTAAGGTTTCATGTCCCGGTTCCTGGGAATCACCAGAAATTAGTGTCTCATCTACCCTAACGCTGGTCTTACTTTTGGGTGTCCCAAAGCACCTATTTCATATCATCAAAACCCCAGAGCTCACCGCTGGGCGGCCAGCAGGCAGAGCCTGGCAACACTAGGTGCACTGGCCGCCCAAGGCCGGGGTCCCTGCCCCCGCCTTGCAGCGGAGCCTGTGGCCGAGGCCCCGGCGGGGTTCCGTCCGGCAGAGGCGCCCCCACCGAGTGCCACTTCGATGGAGGTTGAAACCCGCCCCTGTCCTGAGACTCGACCCGCCCAGCCTGTCCTGCCGCCAGCTTTTGGCTGGCGGGGACAGGGGAGAGCCAGGATTTTGCCCCCAGCCCCCCGCCAGCCCCCACGGGTACTCACCCGCGAGGGGGCTTAGGTGCTCCTGGGCCAGGAGAAGGCTCCGCATGGGTTTTCAGATCACCTGCCAGTGACTGACTGTGGCAATCTTTGTGTAGCTCAGAGAATGTATTTAACACACGGCCCAGTATAATTTTGACCAGCTGCACATTAGGTTTCCTGCATGGATCTTGAGGTTTGGAGGATTTGGACCTCTTTAGGAAGATCTTGGTGCTGCCTCCTGCTGTGTCACCATGGTCCTCAGGTGGGACATGCTGCGGCTGTAGCTCTGGATCTTCCCCAGCTATTCTAAGGTCTCTGTTCACTCAGAGAAACTTTTAATCCTGGGTTGTAAAGGAACAATTCCCTACCTCTTCTCACAGCGGTATGTTCTAGATCCTTATTCTGTACTTCACAACAGCTATTGAAATTTGGCCAAAGTCTCTTACTCTGAACTTTGCAAAATCAACCATGAAATGGTAATGAAAGTTGTGTCTCATTACAGATGTACTGACTAAGGCACAGCAACTCTGCCCCCTCTCGCAATCACCTACATGTCTCTGTTCTGTATTAGTAAATGTCCTGTTTCTCTGTGGATGACAGACACCTTCATCTCTGTGTGCACTCTTGGGCATTTTTGCAGCATCCACCTGCAGCCATGCAGATGCTGATTGCTTCGTGTGTGTCTTCCTGAGCCATGGCGAAGGCAATAGCATTTATGCCTATGATGCCAAAATTGAAATCCAGATGTTAACTGAGAAGTTCGAAGGAAGCAAGTGTCCAACCCTGATTGGAAAACCCAAGATATTTATCATTCAGGTAAGACTATATATATATATATATATATACACATATACATATACATATATATATACATACATATATGTATGTATATATACATATATATGTACATACATATATATACATACATATATATACACATATATACATATACACATATATACATATACATATACATACATATACATATACATATACATACATATACATATATATACATATATACATACATATATACATACATATATGTGTATATATATACATATATGCATACATATATATATGTAATGGAATGAAAGAAAATAAAAGTGAGCCACCAGAATTCAAACCTGTGCTCTTATATGGGATGCATACAATACGAATGTCTTGATACCCACTCTGCAAAGCAACACAACATTTCATGGTAATTGAGAAGGTTCTGTATGAATTTTGGCCAGAGTTGCATTTTGGGTTGTTAGTAACATATGCAAACCCTCTCAGTATTTTTATTATCATTCAATAGTATTTGGATTCACATTTGAGGTGGCTCTCACAATAACAGGTGCTCCTGCTTGGCCAAGGCCAGGGCCAGGGCCAGGACCCCTGTGAGAGATGCCTGCTCACTGTGCAAGATATCTACTCCGACTGGCCTCTGAGAGCTGGGAGAGGAGGCGCTCCAGTCCTTGCAGAGCTCAGTTTCATGTTCCCGCTGGCACCAGGCTTGCCTGCTGACCCGCCATTGCCCTCTGCTTATCCGTGTCCCCACCTCTCTTAAGATGCCAGTCATACTGGGTTAGGGCCCCAGGGCACCTACTTAACCCTCGTTACCCCTTGAAAGACCTTGCACCCAAATACAAATTTGAGCTAGCAAGTTGGCGCTAAAGGGCAGACATGGGAAAGGAGAGCACAGTTCAGCCTGCTGCACGTGCCCTTGGCCTCCCAGTGGAGGACAACAAACCAGGAGTGAGGTGTGCACCTCACTGAGATGGAAACAAAAAGCACCATGAATAACTGTCATCTCACCCAGGCCGTGATGTTTCCTTCTCCTCGTGGCATGTAGCCCCAACACTGGCCCCAAGCCTGAATATTTTTGAACCATGGATACTATGGTTTCTGTTATTCCCTGCAGCAAGATGTGCAGTTTTATATTCTCTGGGAATAACAGCAGGGACAAAAGGTGGTTCTTTCCTTCTTGTCTTGTAGGCTGCTCGGGGAGACAAGTACTATGATTCTGTCACTCCACTGGATGCCCTGGGCCATGAGACGAGCAGGATGGATATTCCTGTCATCCCACCACACAGGGTGTATCATGATATGGGCAGACAGGAGAGTAATGTGATGCCTGCTGGAGCGGACTTCCTCATGTGCTACTCTGTGGCTGAAGGTGTGTTGGTGTTAAACATGGACATAGAATGGCTCTCAGTAACTTCCTGCAAACTTGCCTTAACAGTGTTGCTTTTCTCTGTGTGTGTCTGATCTTGTAAATAACCATTCTACTCGGAATGAAATGACATGTTATTAGGGTTTTGGATCTGCACCTTTATGATGGCTGGTGATACTGAACATTTCTTTATATATTTGTTTATTTCTTTATATCTTTGTTTCTTCTGTGAAATGTTTATTCATGTCCATAGCCCATTTATTTTTTTTAAATATTAGTGGGTTTCTTGCCTTTTTATTTATTTGAAAGAGCTACACAGAGGGAAAGAGAGAGAACAGGAGTGATCTTTCATCTGCTGGTTCACTCTCCAGGTGCTTCTCCAAGCCCATTAACAAGGTGTTGGATCAGAAGTAAAGCAGAAGGACTTGAACAGGCACTCACATGGGATGTTGGAGTTATAGGCCTTACCCACTAGGCCACAATGCATCCCCTGTGATTTTCTCTTAAGTGGAATTTTTTGTTGTTGAATATTTTGAGTTGTTTTTATATTCTGCTTATTAGTCCTTGTCAGATGAATGCTTTACACATTATATTTTTCCTGTGCTATTGATTGTTTCCAAGCACCAACTACCTCTTCTCAGGAGTATGTTTTTGATGATTTGCTGAATCATTGGCTGCATGTGCATGAATTCATTCTGGGCTATATCTTCCTTTGGTGTATGTGTCTGTTTGCATGTTTAGTAACATGCTGCTTTAGCTGCCGTCACTTGATAATATGTTTTGAAGGCAGATGTTAGGACGTTTTCCATTTTGTTCTATTATTCATAACTATCAGGATATCTGGGTTCTCCTCCTTCTCACTATGAATATTTTTTAAAGATTTATTTATTTTTATTGGAAACTCAGATGTATAGAAAAGAAGATCCAGCTGCTGATTCACTCCCCAAATGGCCACAGTGGCCGGAACTGAGCAAATCTGAAGCCATGAGCCAGGAGTTTATTCCAGGTCTCTCACACGGGTGCAGGATTCCAAGGCTTTGGGCCAAACTCAACTGTTTTCCCAGGCCACAAGCAAGGAGCTAGAAGGGAAGTGGGACCACTGGGAAACAACCCAGTGCCCATATGGGATCCTGGCATGTTCAAGGCAAGGACTTCAGCCACAAGGGCTACCTTGCTTGGTCCTTCAGTGTAAATTTTAAGTATGGGGCCTGGTGCGGTGGCCTAGCAGCTAAAGTCCTTGTCTTGAATGCCAGCATCCCATATAGGTGCGGTTCCAATTCTGGCAGCTCTAATTCCCATCCAGCTCCCTACTTGTGGCCTGGGAAAGCAGTCGAAAACCATACAAAGCCTTCAGATACAGTCACCCATGTAGGAGACTTCAAGAAAGCTCCTGGCTCCTGGCTTCTGATTGGCGCAGCACCAGCTGTTGCAGTCACTTGGGGAGTGAATCATCGGAATAAAGAACTTTCTTTCTGTCTCTCCTCTCTGTATATCTGCCTTTCCAATAAAAATCCATAAATCTTTTTTAAAAATTAGGTATGGTTTTCCAGTTCTGTGAAGATTGTCATTGGTATTTGATAAAGATGATGTTGAATATGGAAATTGCTTCTAATAATATGAGCCTTCACTAACAGGGACTAGTATTGGCAAAGAAAAATGCTGCCTGGGCTACCTGTATCCAATATGAAATCCATATCACAGTGTCTGTGACCAATTTGGCTTTTTCCCCAGTTTCAGCCATTTAGATGGGACACTTGAATAGAATCTTGCACTCTTGGATATAGCTCTCTCTTCCTGCCTCTCTGTCCCTCAAGTAAATTGAATCTCTAATGTATATATATATATGTTTAGGGTGGGCATTTGGCACACTGGGTTAAGCTGCTACTTGGGATGTACATATCCCATATTGCTATGCTTGTCTGATTTACAACTCATTGGCTTGTGTTCCCAGCTTTCTGCTAATGTAGTTGTTAAGGCAAATGAAGGCAGAAGTGGTTGGAGTCCTGACATCCACTGGGAGACCTGTCTCTGGATTTGGCCTGGTCCATCCTGAGTGTTGGTGGGCCTGATGTGAGTGAGCCAGTAGACAGAAGCACATACTGAAATTATCACCTTTCAAATAAAAGAAAATCCGTATTTTAAAATATTGGTTCTTCCAGCCCAAGAACTTTGTGTTTGTGTGTTCTGTCATTTCTTTTGTTGGTGCTCATAATTTTCATTGTAGAGATCTTTTACATCCTAGGGTAAAATCATCTTTTTAATAGTTCTTGTGCGTGCAGTCATCCTTAGTATCTTAGCTATTTGTTATTGGCAAAAGCTGCTAAAATTTGTGTGTTGAGCTTTGTATCCTTATAACTTAACTGAATAGCTGTGTTGGGTCTTTTGGCAGGTCTTTGCTTTTTCCTCTATATCGAATCATCTGTAAAGAGATCATTTGACTTCACCTTTCCTATTTGTGTGCCATTTGTATTTTTTGACTAATTGTTCTGGCTAAAACTTTTGAATATGTTCCTTGTATGAACCTCTGTTCCTTTTGATGTTTCCATGGGGAGATGGTTGCCAGAGTCTCTGATTCAACCACCCACCATATCCCTCAACCTCTCCACGCACACTCCTTCAATTCTCATCTCTCAAGATGACTGGCAACCATCCTGGGAATTTCTTAGTGACAATGATATCAAACTACAGAAGTAATATGATCTGAAAGTTGTGGGTGCATCTCAGTCTTTCTCAAGGGCTGTTGAGAACTTCTGGGATTGAATTATAAATGTTTTTGCCAACCATTTGCAACGAAGAGCCAGAAAACATTGTGACCTTTTTATTTTCTTCCCTACTTCTTTTTTAGGATATTGTTCTTTCCGGGAAATTGCGTATGGCTCATGGTACATTCAGGATTTGTGTGAAATGTTGGGAAAATACGGATCCTCCTTGGAGTTCACAGAACTCCTCACGCTGGTGAACAGGAAAGTCTCGCAGCGCCGGGTGGACTTCTGCTTAGACCGAAATGCCATCGGGAAGAAGCAGATCCCCTGCTTTTCTTCAATGCTAACAAAGAAGCTGCGTTTCTATCCCAAAGCTAGCAACTAGGGACTGTTTTATCTCATGATTTGTGTCCAAAGTGCTTCCCTTTCTATCACCAGCAATTTGAGATTTTAATGTTTAGTATTTAATAGAAACTTCATTTGTGTTTAACAAGCCCATGGTGCATATGGATTTAAGGGTTTCATATATACGGAAACAAAACCTTTCAGAACATTCCCAGGAAAGTCTACCAGCATTTGAATACTTAATCTACTTAGTAAATTTTAGCATTACCCAGTTTTGCCCTAATGCTTGATAATCATATTTTATTAAAAAATTTTTGTAAATCACATTCTCATTTGTATAATTCATAAAATTGTTTTACTTGGCCCTATTGCTGTTTAATAGCTGGTACGATTATCACATCTTGTTGATGACTGTCACTTAAAATAATCAATAACTGTGACATTCTAAAGATAAAATATAAAACAACTCTCAACAAGTATAGGCTACACACCTGCAGAACATTATACCAGCATTTTCATCTTCTCTGTTGAGTTACTAGAAGGTATGGAATATGTCACCCAGAAATATTGTCAAGCTTCCCTCAACTGAACATACAGAAAGTATACTGAGCCAAAAACAAAATGATCACATAACATCTAGGGGCAAAACTAATCTGAATCACTGTTGATTTTGCAGAGAAGACCCTTCAAGCAAGAAGAGAATGAAGTGATCTTTTTCAGATCCTGAAACAGAAAAACTGTCAACTCAGAATAATATAGCCAGAAAAGCTTTTATTTGTGTTTATAATGAAATAAAATATTTCCACCATAAAGAGAAGTTACAAGAATATGCCACCACTAAGCTGACCCTAGAAACACTACTTAAAATGTGCTGAAGTTAGAAAGAAAGGAATTTAATCATAATCAGCCATGGTAAAGAGGAAGATCTTCACATTAAACTGCACAGAAGATGTTAAACAGAGACCCCAACAGACATGTGCACACACATACACACCAACATGACAAGACTAATTTACAACCTATCAAAATTAACTGATCACAAGTGACCAAAACCCATCAATCAAAAGACATAAATTAACAGAAAGGATCAAAAAGCAGGACCCATCTTTTGTCTGCATGGGACACATCTAATCAACAAAGATACATGGAAGCTGAGAGTTAAAGGTTGGAAGAGAACATTTCATGCCAATGGAAAAGGAAAAAGAGCTGATGTAGCTGTTCTAATATTAGATGATACAGACTTCACTGTGAAAAAATTTTTAAAAAACAAAGAGAGACACTACATAACGATAAATGGAACCATCCACCAAGAAGAAATAACAATAATACATGTATACAAGAGCATCAAATACAAGAGCACTTCGCCACATAAAACAATTATTGATGGACCTAAGGGGAAAGAAAGATGCCAGTACAACAATAGTGGGGAAAATGCAGCACCCTACTAATGGCAATAGATAGACCAATCAGACAGAATCTCAGCAAAGAAGCAACACATCTCATACAGACAATAGAAAAAGTGGACTTCAGAAATAACTACAGAACCTTGTATCCCACAGACACAGAATATGCATTTATTTCAGCTGTACATGGAATCTTCTCCAGGATCAACCTTACGATAGGTCACAAAACAAGCCTCACTAAGTGTAAAAAAAAAGAAATTGAAATAATACCATACATCTCAAGCCACCATGGAAGGAAGCTAGAGATCAGTAAATCAAAATAATTCAGGAAACTTATAAACTCTTGGAAGCTGAACAACATGCTATTGAAACAACAATTACTAGAGAATAAATTAAAGAAGAAAATTTTAAATTCCTTAAAACCAATTAAAATTCAAACGGAACATCCTAAACCTGTGGGACACTGCCAAGGCAATATTAAGAGGTAAATTTATCTCAGTTGGTGCCTACATTACAAAATAAGAAAGACACCAAATAAATGAGCTACTTATACAGCTTAAAGAGAAAAAAACCAGCAAAATAATCCCAATGACAAATGAAAAATTGAAATTATCAAAATTAAGAAATAAACCAAATAGAGACCAAAACCAAAAGAACAATATGCAAAACTAATGAACAAAGAGTTGGTTCTTTAAGAAAATAAAAGAATAGACACCCCACTGACCCAATAGATATTTTTTTAAAAAGGAAGAAGACAAGAATTAATAGCGTCAAAGATGAGAAAGGGAACATAACAGACATCACAGCCATACACAGAGTAATCAGAAATTACTATATTCAACTGTCTGTGAACAAAAGAAAACTTGAAAGAAATGGATAGATTCCTAGACTCACACCCTCTACCATCACTAAGGCATGAGACAATGGAAACTCCAAATAAGCCTATTACTGAAGTCTGTGCCCATACAGCTTCATTGCTGAATTCTGCAAAACATTCCAAATAGAACTGACCCCAATTCTTCTAAAATATTTAAAAGAAGAAAGGGAGTCAATCCTCCCAAAAACTATCTATGAGGTCAAAAACACCTTAATATCAAAACCAGACAGAGACACAACAGAGAAAGAAACCGATAGACCAATATCCTTGATGAATGAACACCGATGCTAAAATCTTAAACAAAATAGTAGCTAACAGAATCCAATAATACATCAGACAGATCATTCTGCAATTGATGCAGATGCAATTGATCCCTAGAATGCAGGTGGTTTGACTTACACAAATCTATAAATATGGTACACCACATCATAGATGCAGAGAACACATTTGATAAAATCCAACACCACTTCATGCTACAAGCTGTAAGCAAGATAGACATAGAAGGAACATTCCATAACATAAAACCATTTATGAAAAACCCAATGCCAGCATCATACTGGATGAAGAAAGATTGAAAACCTTCCCACTGAGATCTGGAACCAGACAAGGATGTCCAGTGTCACCACTGCTATTTCACATAGTACTGGAAGTACTTGTAAATGTTATAGGACAAGAAAAAGAAATCAAAGGAATTCAAATTGGATATGATGAAGTTAAGCTATCTCTGTTTGCAGATGGCATGATTCTATTCATAGGAAAACCAAGCGGCTCAATAAAGAGACTGCTAGATCTTACATGAGAGTTTGGTAAAATGGCAGGGTACAAAATAAATGAACAAAAATCAACAGCCATAATGTATGCAAACAATGCCAAGGTGGAAAAAGAACTAACCAGCATGGTATCTTTCAAAATAACAGAGGAGAAAATGAAATACCTGGGAATAAACCTAACTAAAGATATGGGAGTTGCTCTTGTGTTTGGTGTGTAAACATTTATTATTGTTATTTCTTCTTGGTGGATGGCTTTCTTTACCATTATGTAGTGTCCATCTTTATCTCTTTTCATTGATGTCTATATCGTCTGAAATTAAACAGCTACACCAGTTCTTTTTTCTTTTCCATTGGCATGAAATGTTCTTTTCCATTCTTTTTTTTTTTTAAAGATTTATTTTTATTATTTTTTCATTGGAAAGGCGGATATACAGAGAGAAGAGACAGAGAGGAAGATCTTCCATCCGATGATTCACTCCCCAAGTGAGCGCAACGGGCCGATACTATGCCGATCCGAAGCCAGGAGCCTCTTCTGGGTCTCCCACGCAGGTGCAGGGTCCCAAAGCTTTGGGCTGTCCTCAACTGCTTTCCCAGGCCACAGGCAGGGAGCTGGAAGGGAAGCGGGGCTGCCGGGATTAGAACCGGCGCCCATATGGGATCCCGGGCGTGCAAGGCGAGGACCTTTAACCACTTGCGCCACCGCGCCGGGCCCTCTTTTCCATTCTTTAACTTTCAGTTTATTTGCATCTTTTTTAGTTAGGTGTGTCTTCTGTAGGCACAGATGATTGGGTCATGTTTTTTGATTCATTCTGTTAATTTATGTCTTTTGATTGATGAGTTTAGGCTATTTGTGTTTAGAGTTAATACTGAGAGATTGCAATTTTATTCTGTCATGCGTATGTCTGTGTGTGTTAGTGTCTCTGTTTAATTTTATTTCTTTATATGAACTTTAATGAGTCCATATAAACAAAATATTGCTCTTTACCACCTTTGGGGCTGGGGACAGCCCTGGTGTGGATTTTTGTGGATCATCTTGACTAAGACCTGGTACCTGCTGGTATGTGTAAAGACTGGTCCAGTGGTGGGTATGCTGGGCAAGGCTGCAGTAAGTGTTGGTGCATGTAAGAGTTGGGGTTTGGATGGAACAGACCTGGTAGTGGCATCTACCAGTACATTTGTTGGCTGATGCAGGTGACAATTGAACTGACCCTGTACTAACTGGTACGCACAAGAGTCAAGTCTGAGGTCATCCTAGGCGAGATTCCTTGGGGTACTCCCCAAATAGACCACTGGATTCAAACCACAACCACTGGAAAAACCACAAGACATGTGGTCCAACCTCAGCGTGATATATCCAGAATAGGTCTCCTCAGTTGTTGATGCATATGCAGGAAACAGCATGCCCAGATGCACAAGGTGGATAAGACAGTCAGCTCATCCAGACCAGTAAAGGATGCTGAGTCCCTCGTCAGACGATGGAAAGCAGAACAGGCTGGACCACTCACCTGGCCATACTTTGCAGCATCTTCCTGGGTCTGTGGATGCACCAATGTGTTCTTTGTCAACCAATAAACCTTAGAAAAATTTTCTCATCCCTTGAGCCATGATACCAACAACAACTTCTCAGAACTATCAAATCCACTCCTGTAACACCCTCAGGACAATCATCCTCATACCAGGGTCTTTAATACATTGCCAAATAATATTTCTCAATCTCCAGACACTAATGTAGTTTGACAGCAATTAGCAACCCTTTCCCCCTCCTCTCCTGTGAACACAGGAGAATAAAAAAGGCTGAAACACGTGTCCCACCCACCTTCCTCCATAACTGACAGGTCCTACCCTACTTAGAGGCCCACTTGGGCATGTATCCCTCTCAATTATGTAAATAATATTAAAAATAAAATTTAGAGAAGAAACAAATGAGAAATAAATATTTCCAATATGAGCAGAAGCAGGAGATTCATCACCACCAGAATGGCCTAGCAAA